GAGCGTGTAGGACCTGAGTATGGTGCAAATAGTATGGAACAAGGGGTGGAGATTGTATTGGGTCTGGCTGGGATGGAGTTAACTTTCTTTATAGCTGTCCGTATGGTGCCATGTTTTGTGGCTAAAGCAGTGTTGATAACACACCAGTGTGTTGGCTATTGCTGAACAGCGCTTGCACAGCATCACAGCTTGCTTTTTTTTTTCCACTCTGCCCCCCCCAGCAAGTAGGTGGGGGGGCGACGGGGGGCAAGAGACTGGGAGGGGACACAGCCAGGACAGTTGACCCAAATTGGCCAAAGGGACATAAATTCCATGCCATAAAACATCAACCTCAGCAAGAAAACCTGGGGCAGAGGAAGAAGAATGGTGGGGCTTTTGTCTTCCAAGGTGGCCGTTGCTGGGAGACTGGCTGGCCATGGGTCCATTGGTGGGGGGGGGGGGGGGGTTGTCTTTGCCTTGGAGTTTTTTGGGTTGGGTTGTTTGGTTTAGGGTTTTTTTGCTTTCCTTCACTTATTAAACTGTCCTTATCTGGATCTACAAACATTCTCACTTTTGTTCTTCCTCTTCTCTCCCCCGTCCCACCGGGAGTGAGTGAGTGGCTGTGTGGGTATTTGGCTGCTGTCCAAGGTCAACCCATCCGCTTTGGTTAGTTCCTGCGAGGCTGCCTCCCACTTGAAGAGTCTTTATAGGGAGACTATGCAGTGGGATATTTCAGAGTATTTATTTGCTACGGGATTTTTTATTCCTTCTTTGATTTTTCCCTGTTCCCATTTTCTGCATGGTGGTGGCAAGCAGGAGAGACTGAAGAAGGAAGGAGGCTTAAAGAAAAACAAAACAAACAAAACAAAAAAAAAAGGGGAAAAAAAAGCTTTTTTCTTGCTTTAGTAAAAAAGTTGCCATTACATTTGTTTGAATTCTCCTGCTCTTACTACCCTGAGTGTAGTTTTGATGCAGGCTTTTGTTTAGAGGGTTTGTTACAGCATGGTGAGGGATGTTGCTTTGGCAATGAGACCTCTCCGAGTGGCAATGAACATGCAACGTCAGGATGCTGTTAGAAAAGTGAAGGTGCTTCTGTCCAAGGAGAGGGAGATGGGGGAAAGACAAAAGAGGTAGTGTCATGGTTTAACCCCACCCGGCAGCTCAGCCCCAGGCAGCCGCTCGCTCACTACCTGCCGGTGGGATGAGGGAGACAGAAGGGTAAAAGTGAGAAAACTCACTTTTTTGGGTTGAGATAAAGACAGTTTAATAGGTAAAGCAAAAGCTGCACACACAAGCAAAGCAAAACAAGGAATTCCTTCACTCCTTCCCATCGACAGGCAGGTGTTCAGCCATCTCCAGGAAAGCAGGGCTCCATCACGCATAGCAGTTACTTGGGAAGACAAACGCCATCACTGCAAACGTCCCCCTCTTCCTTCTTCTTCCCCCAGCTTGATATGCTGAGCATGACGTCATATGGTATGGAATACCCCATTGGCCAGTTGGGTCAGCTGTCCTGGCTGTGCTCCCTCCCAGCTTCTTGTGCACCTGGCGGAGCATGGGAAGCTGAAAAGTCCTTGACCAGCGTAAGCACTACTTAGCGACAACTAAAACATCAGTGTGTTATCAACATTCTTCTCATACTAAATCCAAAACACAGCACTATACCAGCTACTGGGAAGAAAATTAACTCTATCCCAGCTGAAACCAGGACAGGTAGCGAGGATGGGGCAGGGTACATATGTCAAGCTCTGTTGACTGCTGGAGGCTGTCTGGGTTATGCCGTGGTATGTGCAGGGCTCAGAGCAGCATGTGGCACCTTGTGCATCACCTCACTGCTGAGGCTGTCAGGAGAGGGAGACAGAGCTGACAGCAGACTTGCAGAGGTGCAGCGAGCCCCAGGTGTTCAGTAATATGTGCTAAAAGCTCATCTGCACACCCACAAAGGAGCACAGAGAGACAACAGCAGGAGAGGGAACTCAAATAATACCCTGCCCCAGCAGCTCTCAGGCCCATCCCAGGAGCCCTCAGCCCATCAAAGGCCCATTTCCTCAAGCCCAGAGGGGCACAGGGGCACAATGGTAGGTGGGAACCCAAATTAAGGACTCAGAGGAAGCGACACCCCAAAGGAGGGTGCCATGTGTGACTCCTGCCACACTGCCTTCCGAACAACAGAAGTCCGCTTGTGGTCCAGCAGTACGGGGCAACATTTTGTTGCACTATTATCAGAACAGTTAGGACATCGAGGAGCCCCAGCCAGTGTCCCCATTTCTTTGCTGCCATTTCAGGTATACCCACCCCTGCCCTGCTGTACCCCTGAGGGCACCCACAGCCCTTACTGGCCCTGATCTGCCTACCCCGGTGCCTCCCCCGCCCTGCCCATGGCCCAGGACCCCATTTCACCTACTATGTTCCACCGTAAAGCCAGTGAGGAGCAACTTTGGCCAAGACCTTATTTTATACTTTTAGCACAAAAATGTCTCCGATATTCGGTCTCGTCTCCTAGGAAAACAGGACTTACATGGCTGCATTGCATGGTGCCTTCCTTTTTCCCTTTCTCCACTTACTTCTAAAACTTCTGCCTTACTTTAAGCTTGACAGAGACAGAGGTCTCATCACATTAGCCCAACCTGTTTTGTTAAAATGCTCAACTGGGCAGGGAAGAGCGACTGCATCGACCTCTCCATGGTGGAAAAGCTCAGTGCTCACTCTCCTTCAGAGACCAGAACATCACAAGGCAGAGAGGTGCAGGAAAGGAGATTTCATTACTTCTGCTCCTCACAAATTTGGTGTTTAATCTTATCACAAAGCATGTCTTTAGCATTGTGAATATTATACAGACTATAAATTGGAAACCAAACTGGATAGGAGATTTTATCTTGCCAGTCAGTGACTCACAAAGACTTGGAGGGGGAAGAGAGGATTTCATAATCAGCTGAGCATGAGCTCATGGTGTGCTGTTGATGCTGAAAAGACTAATGCAGTCTTTGCAAAGCACATACACATGGAAATACTGAGTAGGAGTAGAGAGGTGACATTATCTCTGCACTTGGCATCAGTACATTGTTATTAAAATAACTTACTGTTTGGAAAAGCCATCCAAAATCTGGAGGGGTTCAGGAAAGATCTGGGAGAATGATCAAACACCTGGGAAAAAAGATAGTATGGTGAGAGACCCAGACATCAGTTTGTTTGTTTTGCCGTTTATTTTTTCTTGTGGGCGATTGGATTAGTCCAATTAGTCCAAAGAACTACTTTAAATGTCAGATATTGCAATCACGAGGTGACAGTCAATGGAATAAAACTACATCTTAGTTTTTACCCTTTTTATAGCAGGAAGACATATTTAAAGTGGCTGCTGGTGCTTGTATTTAAATGGTGCCTTCGTGACCTCAGCCTAGCAAACATGCAGCAGCACCTCTGCCCCACTCTATCCATCTGTGTAGGCGGCTCGGTCACAGCCTGTCTCTGCTCTGTCATCATCCGTCCTTTTTCTGCCACTTCTTTTGTCCATTTTGACACCCTATCTGGCATCAGTTACTATGTCCTCCTCTTCAGATTCTCTGCCCTTCTTTTTCTTTCATCCCAGAAACTCCCTCCCCTCCAGAAATTCCTCCCTCCTTTTGTGAAGGTTTACACTATCTCACCAAGCACTTCTCTTTTCCTTTTAAAGCCCTGTATTTTCCAGATGCTGGGAAATACCCTGAGGTGGCTGAGGTTTGGAGCATATGGCCTTCTGTGGGAAAAGAAAGTAGCTAACAGCCATTGCCATGGACACCAAACAAAACAGTAACCCTCCCCATGGGTTTGAGACACCAACCCCCAGTCTTTCCCAGTTTGAAAGACACTGAAGCTGGACATTTTTTACTCAATTGCTCTCTGGTTCTTTGCAAAATGCCTTTAACTCAATAAATGGTTTCTCCTGGAGAGTTGGCTGTTTGCTGACAGGTATTGCAACCCCAGCACTGTATTTCACTGCATGCTGGAGGGTGACATGAAGCTATAAACCAGAAGTAAGGTTCCCTACTAGCAATATTGTGAGGGTGAAGGATGGTAAGATGAGGATGCTAAGGAGTGAGACCTGCTAAGGCCAGGTGGGTAACGAAAATTGCATTTATATAGGTAGTTCCAACATTAGTGAGAGAGTCCAAATCCATGCAGAGAAAGAGAAGAGCAAACACTGACTGCTGATGGAGGCTGAAGGAGATCCTGGGAGGCAGGTGAAGTTACTGCATACCGGAGTGGTACCTCCTGATGCTCTGCATGGCTAGAAGGGAGCAAGCTACTCATTCTGGATGAAGGCAGCTTTGCTGTGCCATGTCCCTGGAGGTATTTAAAAGACGTGTAGATGAGGCGCTTAGGGACATGGTTTAGTGGGCATGGTAGTGTTGGGTTGACGGTTGGACTTGATGATCTTAGAGGTCTTTTCCAACCTTAATGATTCTATGATTCTGTGATTCTATGTTACGGCCCAGTTAAACCACTTTCTGTGTATCTATTTGATATTTCTTGGGGGCATAGTCAACATTGGCTGTGCTATGAATATTGTTTTGCAATGAATGTTAGACCTCTTGAGACTTAATCGTGCTTTTGCCTCTGAAGCAGTGCTGTGCAATGTGTTGCTTACTTCTGCCTTACATATTGCAGCCATATGTCCTGGAATTGTGTTTTGGTTTGGGGGGGGATCTGTAGATTGGAACACATCAGTAAATATTTTACTGAAGTTTTTTTTAAAACCTTGATGAGAACAGTACTGAACAGAAAATGTACTAATATCTGCTCTGATTTTACACTGATTTCCTGGATTATTTCCCTGTGAGACTGAAATTCAGCATATGCTTTGTGGTGGATCAACTTGACTCACAAACATATCCCAGCAGTAAGTTTTTCATGGTCTGCCATTTTTGAGAGCTGACCTCAGGGTGTGTAAGGGAAAGGGACAGAAGGAATGTCCTGCCAAGACAACGACTGTGTTGGAGTCACCATTGGAGCACTCAGCAGCAGAATGTTTATCACAGGTCATAATGATATTGGGGAGTACTGTAAGAGGAAAGGAGAGGCTAACAAGCAAATCACTGCAAAACATGCAGTCTAGCAAGGACAGCTTTGTAATCAGATTGCCAATATGAATGTGTAGAGAGAATTTGCAACTTGGACTGAAGGAAAACAGGACTCCCAAACTCACATCTGTCCAACCTGGTGGAGTCCAGCCGTGGGAACGAAGAAAAATGCATCGCATCTGCCAGCAGGCAATACCAATCACTTTGTAAAACTAATGCGATATTTTCCTGTCTCCTTTGTGGTCCTGTGAAAACCGGGGTGTCCTCAGGGGCTGAAGGATGGTTGTCAGTTAAGAGATTAGCCCTGACTGTCCAGCCTTGCCTGTAAAATGCTTGCGAAGCATTTGTTTATGGGAGGAGTCACTTGTTTCTTAATACTTGGCCATTGGGTCTGTGCTGGCATCACACAGACAGGTTCCTGGAAGGGTATCATAGTTCTGGTCTCTCTCCTCAATTACCCTGTAGGCCACAATCAAATCCTTGATCTTTATGCAATGCTGGATAGCATCCAAGCTATAAAACCACTCTGCCTCTAGTGTATCATGATCCGCCACTGGATACCAAGGCTGCCTGTGCCTTTTCCTCTCCCTAGCAGTTAAATGAGTCCAGGACATCAGTTTGAATTCAGCTGGAAAGGCGACAAGTAGGTATGGCACAAGCATAGCTGGAAAAATAGCAGACGGTTCCAGAAAGGCCTGCGTGCGCTCAGTACAAGCTTCACAAATTTAAACTTTGCTTAAATACTGGCATACGGGCAGAAAGGGACTCAGTCACTGTCAGACTACAGTGGTTATTTACATACAAATAGAGACACAACTGATAAGGGTGCTGTGTAAAACAGCATGGAAGACAGGCATTTTAAAGAATGTTATTAGAGTATCACTGTCAATTGTTATTTGTCTTCATTTATGCACCCATCAGTATGATTTATTATAGAGATGACCATGACATCAGTATCATCAGTATGCCAGTACCGTTGTCTCAGGAACCAGCGGTACCAACACCTCAACTATAGATTTTCAGTATATATAAAGCATACTATGATCCTTTAGAATTATGTGTTGGCCAAAAGCCTTCGGTGCACATCAGTACAAGACCCTCCACCATTGGTCCATGTAGATCACATCAGGACTGTCACAGAAACCATCCAGGGTCTCGGGTACACTGTTCAGCAGTACATCACCACCTCCAGAGGAACATTAATTTTCATTTTGGTATTCATAATGTAACGAGGAAACTCCCAACCAAAGATTCAGATTTTGTGTGTCTAGTTAGAGCACCTAGGTGGTACCCTAGAGCTGTGTCTATCTAGATGGCCTGTTCAGCTTTCAGCCACCAAGGTGCTGCTATGCAGGTGGTCTGTCCAGCATTAACTGCAGTGACATGGAAGACAAGGAACGTGGGCAATCAAGTCTTCACAATGTCTTATGGGTTCTTCCTAGGTTGGCCACATTGTGCTGGGTTTGGACATGCCCTTTTATACCCTTTAGAGCTGAGAGTGATCCATCTCCCCATACTGTCCTACCTGGTTTAGTCCCTGTCCTTTCCCTCTCAGTCTGGGTGTCCTAAGATGCTGCATGTAGATTTGTGCTGGAAGCTTGATGACCTGCTAGCCTAGGCACCGTGAGCATACGCGATTCATACAGTGCTTCCCCTGCCCACCTCAAGCCCCATTCCCACGCATTCTTCATTCAGACCAGTGATCGGTGCATTAATGTTTCTGTTCTCTGCAAAGAAGATTCTGCTAGAGCACGATTGGCCAACAGCTGGCTCTGTCCTGGCTGCTTCTGGTCACTGCAGACACTGTAGAGTGCTAATTCACAAACTTTTGTAATCCTTAATAAAATTAAGTCAGCCAGCTTTTAACATAGATGTATTTGTTGCTTTTCTTGTGTTCCTGCCTTCTTGTTCAGTAACAGTCAGACCTTCTTGTGAGAAAGTTTATAAAGAACTCTAATGAGGACCCACCATTTCTATTAGGGACCTCGACTAAATTCTGCCTTGACTGATGGATTTGAGTATTAGCCTCTTCCTTTTGTTTTCTTTCTCTGATAAAATAGTTTTTAAAGGAGCAGTATTTCTGGATGCAAGGTGGGGGATTTGCAGATTTTAATGGAAGCACTTCTCTTCTTTTCCCCATGTATGATTTTCCACTGCTCTTATATATCGATGTGACATTGTATAAAAATTCCTCTCAAGCATATTCCCATGTCTACATCAAGTTATATACCAATCAAATTTCCTTCTGATACCATATAATCAAAGAGCAGGGAGATGCAACACAGACTGGTCATGGCTTTGCACAGAGAAGTATCATTGTAGTAATGAAGTGGGTGTTGGTCTCTTCTCCCAAGTAACTGGCGATAGGATGAGAGGAAATGGCCTCAAGTTGCGCCAGGGGAGGTTTAGATTGGACATTAGGAAAAATTTCTTTACTGAAAGAGTGGTCAGGCCTTGGAACAGGCTGCCCAGGGAAGTGGTGGTGTCACCATCCCTGGAAGTATTTAAAAGACGTGTAGATGAGGCGCTTAGGGAGATGGTTTAGTGGGCATGGTGGTGGTTGGTTGACTGTTGGACTCGATGATCTTAGAGGTCTTTTCCAACCTTAATGATTCTATGATTCTGTGATTCTATGATTGTGCATCGCAGGTTTGCTTGATTTAGATCTTTTCTAACCACTTTTTGTCTATCTGGACTGTGTGTGTAGTATAATACAGAGGTAGCTGACATAGCATTATTGCAAGTAAGCTCTTGTTGAGATCCAAGCAGTGTGGATGTATCAGCAAGCTCAGAGCTAATTCTAAGTTTTACAGGTCTATGCGTTGTACTCCATCACACAAAACAGAAATGCCCTTTGTTGCCTGTATTGCATGAGCAGTTAAGCTAAAATAATGAATTTGGGGGAAAAAAAAATCAGGCCTGAAACTAAGAAAGTCTCTGAGAGGGTGGAGTGGGATTTCCATCAGATAACATTAAAAATTATTTTGTTCCTCTTTTAAAGCGAATTAATCTTTGTTCATACAGCTGACCCAATAAGGTTATTAAAATTGTACATGATGTGTCAGTTCTCTAAACTGCAATGAAATGCTAACTTTATGCAGGATCAGCCTTCTCTTAAAATTGAAATAAAATGTCTGGATTTGTGAGAATTTTTTTTTAATTCCCAGGGTACCTCAAACATTGCGAAGTGGTTCTGCTGCATAAAGGAATGTACTTAGTTTAAATGTTATCATTCACAAAGGTGAATTAAAATGAGTCTTAGTTTTCCCTGAAGTAAGACTGCAGGCAGGGTGAGTTTCATAGACCTTCAGTTGGACCCAGTGTGGCTGGGTGGCTGCTCTGAGGTTCTCAGGACCAGCCCTTCCCCTGCTAGTTTTTTGAATGTTTCAATTAATTTTCAGGTATCTCAGAATATTTTTTTTATTTGTTAAGTACTGTATAAACAGCATTAGCAAAGAGCTGTGATATGGGACAAATGGCCTGATTTGATGATCACTGAAGCTGGTGGAAAAGCTACAGGCTGTGAGCTTTCCGGGAGGTTCCAAGAGGGTTACAGAAGCGTCAAATTACTCTCAATTGCACTCAATTAATAAGCACTCTACTCCCTCCACCATGGCTACTCAATTCACTCTACCCTTTCTGAAAATTGTATGTTTAGCATAATAGCGCACTGCATTGAGTTGCAGTGGGTTGCTGAGATGGCAGACTTGTGGTGTAATATGTGCTAAAAGCTCATCTGCACACTCACAAAGGAGCACAGAGAGACACAGCAGGAGGGGAAGCCCAAATAATACCCTGCCCCGGGGTGTGCTCCCAGGCCCATCCCGGGAGCCATCAGCCCATCAAAGGCCCATCTGCACCAGCCCAGAGGGGCACAGGGGCACGATGGCAGGTGGGAACCTGAAATAAGGACTCAGAAGAAGGGACACCCTGTCTGGGCCCCTCCCAGGGCTGGCCCAGGACAGCCTCAGCCCCAGGCATAAAACCCACCCAGATGAGTCAACACCAGAGCACCTTTGGAACTGAGATGGGTTGCTGCCTGGGGGCATGGGACAGGTTATGGCCAGGAGTGTCTCTAAGGGTGATGCTATGCGGCTGAGGCCCAGGGGAGTCCCAACCAGCCCTGTGTGTGTCTTTGATGGTCTGTACCAGCATCTGGAGTAGAGCTGTGGCCCTGAGGGCTCATACCTCCAGGTGCCAGCGACTGGGGAAACTGGGATCTAGGGGCAGCTACTGGGCAGACTGAGTGTCCGAGCCCAGTTGCTGGAGGGATCCAGCTTGTACAGATGTGTATATATTCTCACTAGTGGACCTCCATCCTATTCAGCCAGCGAGGTGAGAAGGATGAGGCCATTGGTGCTCTATGTGAGTACTCTGTATGTCTGTCTTTGTTATCTGTGTTGCCAGCTGTGTGTGTATGTACGTATATGATGTATACATGTGCTCTGTGTGCATGTGCCTACCAGGTATACATGCTTGGACTTGATGCTGATGGGACCTGGAACATGGAGCTGCCCCAGCCTCACATCTCTTGGACTGCCAGACCCAGCACAGTATGTTTTCCACTGGCAATGTGCTTTCTCCTTAATTTGTAGTGTTGTCGAAAATAGAGTAAGCCTGGGAGAAGAGTAGAAAGATATTGTGGTATTTAGTATTGTAATTTCTCATTTCCTTCCTCTTGTGGGTTGAACTTGTAATGTCTGCAACAGGCATAAAACTACTGCAGAGCAAGCTTGTTGGTGTGTTCATTTCCTAGAATTTGAAATCTGATGGTTGAGATGGAGCTTGGGGTGGGGTGGGCAGTTTGAGGAGCAACAGGTAACAAAAAAAGTTGTGTATAAACCTTTGTGTGTGTATATAAACTATAGGCTAGCACCTATCTATAAAATATTCACTAATGCACGAAGTTTATGCATCAAAAGCTTGTGGAACAGTGAGTTCCAGATATGAATAGTAGCAATTAAAAAAGAAAACACCTCTAAGTCTAAATATGATATAGACACAGTATATTTTAACTATATAGACAAACATGAAAGGCCAATGTCCTTCAAAAAAGCAGCCCAAGCTCAGAATTAACTGCTTCTTGTTGAGAAGAATATGAAAAGAAACCGAAAATACTCCCAAGAAGTAACCTGTGCTGTAAAATAATGTATGTATAGAAATTCTTCAGTAGGTGACCTAGTTTTAAAGACCATTGGGAATTTATGTCCATTATCTGCAGAGAGACAGGGTGGCCTGGGAAATCCTGCTGTGATGACGACCATGCGTCCATGGAAATAGCGTTGGACTAAATTTCCTCATTGGCATAATTCCACTAAATAAAAGAAGTGATGTGAAGAACGAACATGGCCCTGTGTTTTCACATTTGAGCAAAAGGACCTTAAAATAGTCATTTTAGTTTAGCTCCCAAACAGAAGCTCTTTTGTAACATCCTAATTACCTAATTCCTATTTTTGTTTCCTTTTCTGTGAGGTGAGAATTTTACATTCGTTTGTTATCAGTGGAAGTATTTTTCCTTCTCCAGGGAAAAAAAAAAATCATTAAATCAAATCAATCACATTTTACTAGATTTATGCTTTCGTTTCGTCAGTGATACATACAGACATCAGGAGAGATACCTACTAGAATATTTTATCTATTTGTCTGGAGATTAAGTTTTGCTCCCTGAGATTGTATAATTCTTCAGTGTCAAGCAGCTGATTTATATTACTTTTGTGTGTAATAGTTCTACAGCCAAATCCTTTTGATTGCCAGGACGTCTTATTCAGGCTCCATTTCTCTCACGTGGATTTGATTTTATTTTTGTACACTTTAAGGTATGATGAATTGATACTTTACATTGTATGAAACATATAGAGTGGAACAATAAATATGTTTACAAATGGCTTTATTCCTTTCTCCTTTCAAAGGAATTTATCTTAACGTTGCATGGTATATATTTGCAATGATGTTTTTGACCGTGAAACTTAAACAACTCTGAACTCTTACCAAATGCATCTTGTGTATAATAGTGCTTTTGCAAAATATCTTGTTACTATACACGGATATCTTGTTACTATACACAGATTTTTTTGGTAGCTGGATCATTTTCCTACATCAAAGCCCGTCAGGCTCACGAGTATTTCACCAAATGGAGTGATTTGGATATACCACTTTAAAGTTTTCTGAGAGAGGTAGAAAAGTAAAGCTGAAACAAAAATGTGTCACTTTTCTTTGTGAGAAAAGGTTCTGTCTTCGTCCTCCCTATCCTAATTGGAGCTAAATGTTATTTATAGTGTATCTTCTCTTTCGCAACAGCCTGCAAGAGCGTTCAATCTTCGGTTTGCTCTTCAAAATGAATGCTTCTGATGTGAGGCTACTTTCCAGGAAGCATGACCTCATTCTGCCTCTGTGCCGCTGATTGCACGGGCTGTTTTCAAAAGGAAACAGGGGACTTCATAGACCTGCCTCTCCGAAGACCCCGGGCTAATCTCTTCCAGGAAGCTGCAGAAGGAGCACCCTCCACCTAATGTCTCCGAGGCTCTCGTGTTGATGATGAGAAACTTTTTTGCATACAGGTGTTAATAGTGAAATGGATTTTCCAGGTTTGCAAGATTTTACACATATTTATCTCTTCATATATTTGTCAACTGAGGAATAATTAAGCTTTGGATTCATTTATATACTGCTCTTCAGGAAGTTTTGTGGTTTTGTGAATGTTGTTATCATGACCTGCAGGGAGAAAAGACTAGGCTGCTCTTCAGAAATGACGGATATGTGTGAACAAATAAAACTCTCTTTGCAGACACTTGTGTTTGGTAGGTACAATAGAATAAAACTGGTTGCCTGGGCTTCAGCTATTTTAATAGTTAGCACTGCATTTTGGTACATGCTAATGTAAATATTTAGAATGTAAACATGGACAGAGGATTGCTGGCTACTAATTGGGTGCATCATTGGCTTAAAGATTAATTTGACTTTTGGAGGGAAAGGTAATTAAAATTGACTGTTTTGGACAGTGACTTTGTTTATATTACGACATGGGCTTTTGTGTGTTTTGAAATTCAAGGGGGGTTGTTGCCTTAAACTTTTATTTGAATTCTGACATAAAATATTGCTGCATTCACCTCAGATTCACTTTTAGTGAGATTTCTTAAAGCTGTTGATCTTTTCTTATGTCATAGTTTAAAGGTTCTGTATTGATGCTCATTTTGTAGATTACAGATATAGTACTACTGCTTCACTGTACAGTGGTGGTTGAGATGCTTTGTTTTGGCTTGCTTATATTGTTACTATAGCTTCTCATGCTATTAATAGCCCAGAAATGGAAAGCAGAACACTGTGCAGCATTGTCTACAACATGATGTTTCCATGCTTTCTCCAGCACTGATTAAATTATGATTTTCAGGAACCCTCTTTGTTAACACACTGAGACAAAAATTTTCATGATCAAAGGGAGCAAAAAAATCCATTGGACTGCCTGCTCTATGACTGTTCACAGAAGCTTGATGTTACCATTACTTAAAATAGTTCGAAACTATTAAAAGAACTTAAAACGGTTCTTCAAAAGAGAGAAAGTCATCACTTCCCCAGTAATATATTTGCCTATGTATATTTCTCACTTTCTGTTATAAATATATGTATATACTCTATTTTACCTTAAATTTTACTTCTGTGGAGGGTGGCAGAAAAACAGGAGTCCTGCAGAGACATACCTTGCAAATTTATGAGACAATTCAAATTAGTAACAGAAGGACTGTGGTTTGTTCTGCCACTTTGATCCATAGGTGTCAACACTTTCTAATGAAATCACTACCCATATGTAAACTACTATTCTTGAAAGTTATTCTTTTTTAGTTGTTGCTACTTTATATTATCATAACTGAGAAAATCACTTGCAATACAACTGTGCTATGGATTTCAGTTGCTGGAAAGTTTCACTCTCAGGTTATTAATGAGTTGTAATAGATATATTATAGATCATGTATTAATCTATATTACCTGTTATCCGAGGGTGTATGAAACAGTCCTTTTCAAGATGTATGGAATATCACATGTTGCATCAACAGCACGACCAAGTAAATTTTGCACATTCATCAGAGCTTTTGATATAAAAAATCTGTTGTGGAGAGGGTTTTGTTTGACTGATAAGATTTGGGATTTTGCAGGTTTTAGTTTATATCCAGATCTACGAACCACCTGTCGAGTTCTTCTTGTATTTTCTTTTAGAGTTTAGATTAATTTCCTGGTTTTGACTATAATATTTTTGCACAATTAGAAGTCATGATTTTGCCTAAAATAAGATAAATTATTTCAGAAGGTAATTGTATATGAAAAAAATAGGTCTACAACATGTCAGTCTATGAAATACACCACCAGTCTCACTTTCTGTACAACTTGCTGTGTAGCAATCTGACCGATGCTACTTGATCTCTTTGTACCTCCACCAAGTTTCTTCCAGTTGTCTTCTCCTCAAGTTGTTTTTGCCAGGATTAGAGGATAATTTTCTCATGGTAAAGTGAAATGTTGGGGTTTTTTTTCAAAGCGTAGGAGAAATACTGTATATGGGAGTAGGGTAATGAGACTGATTTGTAAAAAATACCCTGGAAGGTTTTACTTCCATTCTTTGGTGACCCTGCCTGGTCCCAAGACACAGTCAGCCTTCACATCCAGGCTGTGACTGACAACTGAGCTCCAAATGAGGATAAACAAGATTACCAAAGCAGAAGCACTGACTTTCATGTCTTTTCTTTGCCTCAGCTCATAATTGAACATAAAAAAAAATATTCTCTTAGACCTATCTCCTCTCATAGGTGAATGATGGGCATTTACTAACAGTGTTATAAGCATGACGCTCTCAGATATAAGAGAGGTAATTTTTTTATCTTTTATCATTCCATGTAATAACAGCTATAAATTCTCCTTATGGATAGCCATTGCTCATATTTCATAAGATTGATTTTGTCAGATGCTGAACCTCCGGCAGCACTTTGCAGACTTGAGCCATGGTAATCCAGGCAAAGCCTATTTCCTTAGTCTCCTGCCACAATATTATTGTCAAATCTTTGTCACTGTAGCTGTCCCTATGCCTGTTATGCCATGTCTGCAATTTTCATCTGAAAAATGTATTGTAATTGTAATTGTAGCCCTTCCATTCTACTCTGTATCTATTGCCAGGACATGAACTATTTTTGGCATGAAGCAGATTTCTGGGAAAACACCATTAAAATTACTATAGCTATTGCAGTTGTGTCCATAATTATTTCTTTCAAGGTAGTAAGCTGTGCAGAGTACAAATATCTGATAATGGTTGGCTCTGATTCTGTGTTGTCCTGGTTGAGATGAGTTTCCTATAAACACTATGTCTTTCCTCCATTCTTTCATCTGTTTTATTTCCTTTAATCTCTCCCTTAATTTCCATTTCTTTTTTAGCTTCTTTTATGATCTTTTTGATATGCACAAGGTACCTGTCAGTGAAGACCTGTCAACTGTTTGAGCTGTCAGTGGATATGATAACGACTCCTTCTTCTTTGGCCTTTGCCTCTGCAGGTTCAACAGCGTTTGATGGAGAACATAGACGCAACCTCTCACAACGTGTTTTTCCAAGGTACTGATGAAAATTATATTTGTTTAATTTTATTTTTATTTTGTTGGAGATTTTGTAAAATCCCTTTTGGGCCACTGAGAATTGTAGTGCTGATATTTATTTAATTACTGCTTTAAATGGAAGTTCAGCAGTACTGCTATGGAGATTGGAAGCACTGGCTTTGCAGTTACAAGGTTTTGGAGTATCTGTGTTCCACCTGCTCTCCCCTTTCCTGAAATTATGGTATCCCTCTGTGACATACCATATGGAATAGTTAAAACTGATACTGAAACTCATGTCAGCCACTGAATCAATCCAGTGTCTTCCTTTCTTTTCATGGATGTCACTGCACAGCCACTTGAAACTCAAAGGTGTTGAGGAGAAAGGACTCACCATAAATCCAATTTTACTTGAGCTAAGTAAAATGTCTACAACATTTAGATTCTTTCACCTCTGTCACTACTCACTTCTATTTTAAATACCACATAGTATATTTTTCTGTGCTATATTTCATCTCAAAGTCAATTGTATTTCAGTGCTGGATGAAGTTATCATCATGTGTAGACTTTATCCCATGTTGTTCTAGCTGCATGGTACTCTAGGATTTGTGAGAATTAAAAGTCATGTATACTTCAATCTTCATTAATAAAAAGCAAATAAATCCTGCCTGGTTCAGAGGCACTCAGGCTTGCGCCATGCAGAGTAGCTCAGAAGCAAACTACTGGAATACCTCTGACGGCTCCAGGTAGGTGTAGATCTGGCAGGACTCTTTGGCCAAGAGCACTGCCGCAGAAACACACCGTGCACTTTTCAATTCAAGCTGGCTCCATGCATTCATGAAATGCTCCACCTGGCATGAAGCCCTCCTGTAATCTGAAGCTCTGGAAGGTGTGATGGAGGCACACTCTTGCAGGCTGAAACCCCCTAGGTCCCGAAGTAATATAATTATGTCCACATATTTTAAATCTATGTCAGTGCCAGCGCCCATCAGCTGGTAATGTAAATTCATTATTATTAAATCATGGGTTTGCACTGTCTAGACACTCACTAAATTAGAGGGTTTCATTTCTCCTTCTCAGTTATGCTTCTGCCTTTTTGGATGATGACCCTGCCTATGAATGTTGTTCCACAAATCCTCTGACAAGCTCCCTGTCCACATGTCGCCACAGCCCTCGACTGCTTTCTAATGGTTATTACGTTTTGACAGAAGACAGTTTTCTGTCTGATGAAGAGGGTAACGTAACACTGACACCATCCCAGACAAGTGTTACATATAAAGAGAATTTAGTTCGGTAAGTGAACTACGTGCAGATTTTACTCAATGTTGGCAACGGGCTCCACATCTCTGGACTTATCTGGTGGTATCTGTGTGGCTGTCTAGGTTTTGCTTGGCATAAGATCCACATTGCTTCTGAATGGGAACATCTCGATTTAGTTTAAAGAGTGCAGTGATTGAAATAACTTGATTTTCAGTCATGTCTAATCTTACTACCCAAAAACTCTTCAGTACACAGTTGTTGCTGTAATTGGTGTTGTGTCCAATAAATAAAAAGGAGAGCTACAGCTCATTTTGCCAACGGGGTGTTACCTTGATAAGGAATAAGAAAAAAGTGTGTATATGTATATATATATATATTACTCATATATATATAAAAATAAAAAGGTCTGGTCGTGGAATTCTTACTCAGGGAAAAATCTCTCTTGATTTTGGAAGAACATCAGTTTAAGAAGGTATATAAAATGTAGTTCAGAAAAGTTGAAGTACAGTGGATTCAGGCTGCGCCAAATGGGATATGGTAGGGTGAAACTCATGAGTAGCAGGAGACCACTCACAGTAGTATCACAGCCCAATAACTGTAGTATCATTTGGTATCACAATATCCAGTATCACAATGCCTGATATATTGCCATGCTGCTAATCCACTCCCTGACATTACCACAGTGTGCCG